CCATTTCCCCCCCACGGCAGGCGCAAGAAGGAGCAAGAGAGAGGGAGAGAGAGAGAGAGAGAGAGGAAGTGTGTGTGAGCGAGAGAAACATACCGGTGAAGCAGAGGGCAAGCTTTGAAGATATTTTAGGTACATGAAATTATCTCTTTTCATCAAACTTTCTTCATAAATATTTCATATATATTTTATGCTTCCTAATAGTAGTATTATCATAGTGATTAGAGAAAATTTTGAGACTTATATATGATATAAGTATTGAGTTTTTACAAAAGATGACTATCGAAATTTAGAAGTTAATGAGTTGTTAATTTTAATCGGTTAGATTTGTCCATTTGTTGGTTTTTAGTATTTAAATTAATTTTTCTAGTTGAAAAATCTGTTATATATGATTTATATTATATTTTTACCGATTAAATTCAAGTTAAATAATTTATTTGGATTGTTTGATATATTATTGAGGTTTTAATTAGTTTAGTTTTATTTATTGGGTGACTGGAAGTTTTAAAATGATTATTGTAGCTAAAAAGTTTATTATTTATGGAAATATATATATATATATATATATACCATTAAAGTTTTGATTATATTATTTAGTTATAAATATTTGAAGTATTATTGAATTTTTGATAGTGTGATTTTGAGGTTTAAACTTAAATGAAGATTTTTAGAATTTAGAACATAGTAATTTTATATTTGGAAATTATGAAAAATCCTTTTTATTAAGGTAAATAATTTGGAGATGGTAAATAAATAATTTGGGGTTGTTAGAAATTTTAAGTTGTTTCTAAAATACTTAATAATTTCTGAGTTATGAGAGTTGCGGGAATTTAGAGTAAAAATTTAAATAATATAGAGAAGTTTAATTAATTAATTTATATTAATATGTGGTTATATTAATTGTGTAGATTAATTATTGGTTGAGCAAAGGATTGACCTTGTGGTAATCCTTAGTATTGCTTTGGCGAGAGGTAACCACTTTCCACTTGTTGTATGTGCTGATATGTTGTTTGTGAGTATTTTGCTGTTTTTAGAATAATATTTGATATTTGGAACTTGAGTGGATATGTTATATCTTTTGAGCTATGAAAATTGTCTTGTGGGATTTTTGGAATTGTGATTGAGAAGTTTGGAAAGGATATATGATTTATATCTTATGGATTATACTGAGAAAAGATTGAGACATTTTTATTATATTGTGAATGGTTGGTTGTTATTTGGATTTTGGATTGAGTCCTATCCTACCACGTCGTAAGGCCGCCATTGGTGCACATTGGTTGGCTTCTTCTTTCGTCCCCCAGAGTGAGGGATAGGCCCATATGTTTGATTGATCCCCCAGAGTGAGGGATAGACTTATGTGGCTTGTGTGTTGGCCCCATAGTGAGGGTTTGGATGATTGAAATTATATATCTATAGTTCTCGAGAATTAATAACTGTCCCACTTGACACCTCACGAACACGTGTTAGTATGTATGATGAGTTGGAAAGTTGGTTACTGAGGCGTTTGTCTCACCCCGTGGTTTAACATTTTCAGGCGATAGTTCCGGTGGTGGCCCATCAGGAAGGCTCCGGAGGCATAATGTGCTGTTATAGCCTCCCTGCTTTTGTTCTATGTGCTGACTTGTTATATATTGCCACATAGGGCTCATCTACTATCATGATGTAAAATAATACTTTTAATTACTACTATCTGGTATGATAGGGCCGTGAGGAGGTCCGAGACATTTTAGACTTTGCGTATTACACTCATTTGATAGTGTTAATTTTTGACTAATGGGCTCTATGACTTATATTAAAATGTTTTATCAGTTCGTGTGTTTGAAAGTGTAAGTTTGGTTTGGGCTAACGGTTGAATGATATTTCTGGACTTTGAAAGTCCAAGGCCCAAGTGAACGATTGATGTGGCTCGTAATATAAGTTTATTTCTTTTAACCATGATAGTGATTTTAAAATTTTAAGGTTTCTTCTTTTCTATCATGGTTAATCGTTCAAATGGATTGTTGAATTTAATCTAAAATGGTTTTGAAAGAGCGGTTGTTACAATTAACAACTCTTATAATGATATTTACAACTTCATTAGTGCTATTAACAATGTGCTCTCTAGGTTTTTTAAACTGGGATTTTTTTAACTTTTGTAACGTGATTAACAACTCTTGTAACAATATTCACAATCCTATTAATTAATGCTATTGACCATATGGCTTTTTAGGTTTTAACGTAGGATTTTTTTTAACATTCATAACGTTATTAACAATTCTTATAAAGATACTCAACTCCATTAGCGCTACCTTAAATATCCTATACAATAGGTTTTTAAAATAATATTATTAATTTAATACATATTTTAATTTAATAAAATAAATGGATGGTTCGTATTCCCTTAATTTTTCCTAGTCTAAAAACATATCATATAAAGTAGTTAATGGCATTAATCACATTACAAAAGTTAAAAAAAAAACTCCCCATTTAAAAACCTAAAAAAGCATATGGGTAATAGCATTAATAAATTTTGAAAATCACAAAAGTTATTATTCACGTTATGAAAGTTGAAAAAATTTCAAATAATAGCTATTGACTCGCTGGCCAATAGAGCTCCGGTGATAGGTAGCCACCTGAACTCTAGCGATGGTTGCCGATGCTAGAACTCTAGCAACCAGCCAACTGATAATTGTGCCTTAAAAAAAATTAAATGCCAACTTTGTAAATTTCCCAACATTTCAAAACTCCAATTCAATCATAAATATGCCAACATTGTAAATTCCCCAACATTTAAAAACTCCAATTTAGTCATTATGACTAAATTAAAATTTTGCAAGTTCAAGTGAGCATTTAGGTTTTTACAAATTCAAGAATCATTTTTCCCTATTTTTAGTTGGGAAAAAATTGTAATAAAATCAAATGAGCATGATGACACTTTGGGGCTTTTAAATGAATAATGACAGCCTTGAGGAGAATAAAATAAAAAAAGAAGAATAACAATAAAGTATACCCAAATTGAAAAGGGGAAAAGACACTAAAATATTCTCAAAAATACTAAAGGATAAATTAGAGCGGATGAATTTCAAAATCCCAAATTAGATCCTTTATATTATCTTGGAATTTTAAAATATTATGAAATGACAATATTGCCCTTACTCCTAATAACTACTTTCATATAGTTACTAACTACTTTAGTTTTACTATTGACTACTTTTTTTTTTTTTTTCAAAGTTCTGTTAACTACTTTTGTATAGCTATTAAATACATAAGAGTAGTAAATAACTAAACAAAAAAGTAGTCACTAGATCTCCAACAATACTTAATACATTTTTTTGAATTTTTGAAAGTTAAAACAAAAGTAGTCAATAGTGAAACTAGAATAGTCAATAGCCAAATAAGAGTAATCACTAATTTTTAAAAAATAAAAATAGTCAATCATAATACTAGAATAGTTAGTAACTAAACAAGAGTAGTAATCAAAATTCTAAAAACAAATGCACTCAATAGCTTAAAAAAATAATCAATACATTAAAAAAAATAGTAATCATCGAAACTCTAGTGACTAGTCATCAAAGTTTTAGTGATACGTTGCCACGTTTCGGTGGCCAACCATCGGGGGCCAAAAACTAGCCAAGGGTGCTGAGTTGGGAATTAAAAAAAAAAACAAAAGAAAAAAATAATGAAGGGTATTTGGTTAATTTCGCAAGATTTGAGAACTCCGAAATAGTACAAGGAGTCTGAATTGGAATTTTGAAATTTGCCTATATTGATTTGTCTTTTAACAATTTCTAAGATATTTTATCATCTTTTTCCCATTTGAAAATGCCAATTGAAAACTATTTTTTTATTTATTTGTAAAAATAATTCTCAACAAAATATGTTCAAGATGATTCCAAAAATATATTTTTCAATTTCAAAATCCCGAATTATCACAAAAATATAGTCATTAACTTTCAAGTGTAGTGAATTACTATTTAAGTATAGTAAACAAGACTGATTTGAAATTTTAAAATTCAATAAGTATTTTTTTTTCAAAATTTCCCAAATTATTCTTATTTAGTAAAAAAAACATTTAAAAACTAATAATTTGGATAAAAAAACTATTTACTTAAGTGTGAGATCTTCTAGGGTATTTTATCATCTGGCATCACGTCCAGCAAAAATTGTCTGATGTATTCAAAAGGGTAAAAATATCAAATACAACCACCTAATTTGTTCCTCTGAAGTCTAAAATCTCAAACTCAAAACTTGTCTCATCAAGATTCATAATCGAAGAAAAACATTTTCGTGCTACTTTTAACTTCTTTCAACGCAGTGAACAAAAAGGAATTGGTATGACATTATTTCGAACCAAAATAAAATAAAATAATCTACGTCGAAGATATTATTCGTTAACGTTGATCCATGATAATAAAACATCTATCCATATATGATTTTTTTTTTTTCCCGTTACATCGAATAATAGATTGAACCCAAGTCTCTGCTCGTATTCTTGGAGCACTAATCCAACCTGAGATTCACTTACCAGACAACATCTTCATTATGTTTTATGTTAGGCGAAAAAACAGGAGATTGATCAAGCTCCCATCAATGGAGATTCACTTCTATCGCCTGCTATGGATTAACCATCAATCCACATAATCAAATTCTTGGAGCTGCATTGAGAGCCACAAATGTGAAGTCAGCTTAGTAGAGGTAAAGATAGTAAAAATGCCTTAAAAAAAAGTGAAAAAAAGGTCTTAAATTGCCCAGTGGATTGATGATCATTTTCTAGACACTATTGACTAGATAATCAGGAACTTGTTATCAACTACCAAAGTCTTGTATTTTATTTCATTTGAGAGAACTCTGAGTTTAGGAGGACTAAGAGATTATCATATTCCAAAAACCTAGACCACATTTGGTTTGCCCTTTGCACTAAAAAAAAGGTAATAATTTTCACATGGCAAATCAAATGTGAAATATCTATTAGATACTCAATTATCACTTCGTTTGTAAGCAAAGCTTTTAATACATATTTACCATCCCAATTGTTGCCTCAGGCAAACGCTCAACTGAATACTTGTGTTCAGTGATCATGATAGGTACGCCAGGAATCTGCAACAAAACCAAGTTCACATATTAAGGTCCAATTTTCAACAATGGAAAGTAGGATAACAATTCTCCACTTTACCTTGCGGATCCTTCACTTCAGATCTCGATCACATGTTGCAACAATGAAGCACCTAAACTGCAACCAACAAAAAGCTTTGTGGTGAACAGGATAAAAAGAATGATAATAAAGCAGCAGATACACATGCCCCAAGTCACACTACAATAAAAATACCCACTTGAATCAATTTAAATCGGAATCAAAGATAGAGACAGATACCAGTTAACTACTAAAATACAGCATAAGCAATTAAGATTTCAGAAGCATGTCAGATAATACCAAGAAAACAATTGCCACCCAGCCAATATCTACCCATGGAATCTACCATCTACCACTTTCTAGAAAGCTCTCCGGTAGATAAGCACGCCGCTAAGAGATTCAAACCCTTACCCCCTCCTCTAATGCCCAAGACAGAGAAAAAAGACGGTAAGAAATCCTAAATTTCCAATGATCTCTCACATAAAGGCTACCTATCTCTGTATAATATGAATGATATGTTTCACATGCTTGAAATTAACAAATGAACTCATATTTCCAAATAGAAATTACAAAATAAATCAGACCTCAGTAACTCTCTCAACAATGCAATCATCTGCGTGGGTCCCCTTGTGAGTACAAGGTAACCTATCAAATCGAGGATCCTTTGCAATCCAGCCACATAGATGGAACAATATTTGATAAATCAGTTACTCAGAAAGTGAACTAGAACAAAGAAGTTAGTAGGTTTTCTTTACCAGTGACTACTGAGCTATGTGGTTGCCTGTATGATAAAAATGGTTAATAATTACACAATGAAGTGGCAAACAACTATGGTGAGGAAGAAATAAGTAGAGAAATTCATTGGATTTACAAGCTATCGCTTTGAGGTTTCAAAAATGTTATTTAGTTCATTGTGGCGTAGTCCTTTATTACCTGAAGCAGCAAGGTGTCTACTCCGCAAACATTGGTGTAACATTTTTCAAGGAATTAGGAACACAGTCACGTTCAACTCGTGAATTTATCATTTTGAAGTAGACAGGAAACTAAAGATATAAACCTTATGTGAGCAAATTGACACATCAACACTGCAAAGGGCAAAGTGGAATTAAGCCAAAGCACAAGCAAATAACTCAAAATAGCAAACTATAAACATGCAATAAACTAGGACATACTAGGGATGCCAATAATAATTTTGATCTTACAATTGCAGCTAGAATATGAGAATATACGACAATCAAATATCAAATAATTTATATGAATGTAGAAGACAAAACATCTATCTAAGAGCCACACGATATTTCTGGCCTAATTTCTCGAGCTCCGCCATGACACAATCTGTGATTGAAGGAGTACCGAGATGACAAAATACACGAAGTATGAATGTATGAATAGAAACAAGAAAAATTTTTACTCAGAAACCAAACAATCAATGGCATCTTTTACCCCCTAAAAGGGCCTATAAAAGCAATTTAATCGCGAATAAATGGATTAGAACCCATGACTGTACTGCCACACATAAAATTCACCAAATGAATAAATTAACAGAGTACAGATAGCAGCCAGCTTAAAACTTACATTTTGCATATAAACAGTCCATCATTCCCTTCTCTAAGTCCAACTGCATCAAAAGAAAAGTTTAAGTGAGACACCACACCATTCCCTTAGAACTAAGTTAATAATAAGCAGGACTCCATAGAATGAAAGCCGCGAAAAAAGATTAAAATTGAGAAAAGGCGCACTCACTTTGTTCTGAATGGAGAAATTGATAAAGTTGGTATCGACCAAAACACAATAAGGAGGTCCCAATTCAGTGTTGTGCGCAAAGAACAGCGACGAAGGATAATAAGGGCTTCATAATAAAAATCAAAACAAATGTCACGAAAAAACAAGGTCTCATAATTATAAGGTTTAACATTCAAAGATTAGTCAGTAATTGTGCTTACACGTTTCTGGGCAGTTTTTCCTTGCTAAGGTCCTTCTTCTAAGGGTTCAACATGTTAAAGGTAAACAGAGAGAGAAGAGAGAGCAGAGAGTAAATAGTAAAATATGTATTCAATCAACACCCGGTATAATTTCTAACATCCTATTTATAGACCACTAGTCCACTACCCATTTCCCATTTACCTTCTTGCCCCTACTAATACTATTACCAGTTTACCACATATCAATATACTCCCCCCCAACAAAAGATCCTTGTCCTCAAGGATCAGTACAAAAGTGGAAATTAAAACATGTAAGTGGGGTAAGGCACTCTTTTTTCTTTTTTTTTTTTTTTTTTTAAGATCATAAGTTGCTAAGACTGGAAGGAGAAACAAAAACAAAAGGACATGAAAACCCAAACTTGTTGCAGCTTTCCTTCAAATCCCAATTCCATTGTTGCACTTGATGCTAAAACCAAACGAGTAGAAGGCCCATAATTGGTGAACGAGACCATCGTCAGTAAAGCACCTTTCCCAACCAATTGCCAGCAGCATTTTTTTCCCCCATCACAGCTAGAGTGCTTCCAAGGCAACCAGAATGTTGAGCCATGATTGCAGGTGACAAGTGCATGCTCCTTACCCATCATACGAAAGGTTTCACTATCAGTAAATGATCGACCCTTAACTGTTGCATACAAACCAAAAATCCATACAACTTCCAGTTCCAGCCATAACAATTCTGTTACAATCCTATTGACATAACACGTTGCCGCGGTGATGAGATTAATGACAAGAACAAAGGCTAAGAAGATCAGGCCCAATGGTATGATGAAAGTTGCAGCTGCAACAACCATGGTCAAGCACAAAGCCACAGACACACCTTCCCCAATTTTGATAGAAGCAAGGAATTCCTTAGAAACAAAAAGTTCCTTTGCTTCAATCGCTATAATTTTGGGCTCTACCTGCAGTAAACTTCCGCACCACATCACCTTTGAGATGGAAGCGAAAAACTCGAAAGGCGAATAACGAAGCTCTTTGGCTTGGGTAAAGATTTTCGGGTTCAATAAGACGGGCAAGGAAACAGACGTCCCACCCCAAAGATGCCCCAACAGGCCCATTTCTTTACTCCCCGTAAATTCAACAAAAGCCAGCATCACATTAATCCCTTTAGTGTTTGGGTTCAACCCGATTTCAGCACCAGCCCTACCCACCCAGAATGTAAAACCATCTCCGTCCTTGCTGAGCTGATCTCTGACTTCATCAATCAACAACTCACTTCCAGCCGTTCGATCAGAATCCCTCCACTTGATGAATAACGCAAATAGCTCCGACGAATGCATTGGAGTTCGCATAGGGTCGTTGATGCATAGGTCGGCCAGTGTGTTCTCCATTCCTCCTACGAAAAACTTCTCATCAGCAGCAGTGCTAGACAGCAATAATGGTGTGACAGCACGGTAATGAAACGCAACAGTTATGCAGTGGCCTGGACCTGGACTCAAGGTTTTGACCTCTGTAATGAATGGAATCTGCTTAGTGGCCTTCAACAAATGTGAACAAGATGCCTGCAGAAGAGTATTCATAGAAGACACAGACACAGAGGTGTTCGCAGGAAACAGAAAAAAAACAGAAGGAGCTATAAGGGCTTGCAACTTGGACTCATCCCCAAGTGACTATGGAAGGGGGCCGAACTTCGGTCCCAAAATGGAAGAAGACCTAGAGGTCCCAAAATCAGTAGTTCGAGCAGCAAACAGAGAAGACATTTGTGACGTCTTGGGAATAGAGAAGGATGGGCGTGCCCTCTTGTGTAAAGCCCAACAGCGTCGAAGGTATAGTAACTGTTTCGCTAGGAAGAATCGTTGACGAAGGTAGAGCATCCCATAATGCCGGAATCCATCATCACTCCTGCAACTAAGCAGAGGCGCTGGTTCTTTCATTTGTTGATCTGTTCCCATCTTCTTGTCATTCTCACGTATTACTTGATTTGCTTTAGCCTCATCGATTTGAGTCTTGCCATTCACGACTACAGCTACATTGTCATGTTGAGATGATTCCTTCATAGCTTCGTCTAATTTCTCGTTGTTGAGATCCTTCAGCTTGTCATCGACAGAAAGTGTGCATTTCGAAATCACAGTAACTTCTTCAACTCTCTCAACTTTTGCGTTGGCCTTCGACTCCACCATTGTTTCTGCACCAGCTTCCGTGTCCTGGTTCTCATTGGTCACGTTGTTCATATCATCATCGTTGGCTATTTTGTTTTCGGTTGCAACGATTTCATACAGATTCGAATCGTTCCTAACTTCATCTCCATTTTTCTCATGTGATTCGACGAGCAGAATAGAGGTAGATCCCCCTTCGTCTGAGTCAGTGACCGGATCTGATGAGACATAGGAGATTTGAGCAAGAATAACTTGGAGATATTCATCCAACCTACTCGCTGATAATTTCAGATCATTGATAGCCAGAGCATGTTGGTCTAAGCATGAGTGAATAGCATCAAGGGAGACTTGCTGGAGCTCAAGTCGATGCTCCAAATCATCAATGCATGCAGAGGATCGAATGTCCGGCAGTGGCGCCATGGACCAGACAAAAGGCTCTGATACCTTTGTTAAAGGTAAACAGAGAGAGAAGAGAGAGCAGAGAGTAAACAGTAAAATATGTATTCAATCAACACCCGGTATAATTTCTAACATCCTATTTATAGACCACTAGTCCACTACCCATTTCCCATTTACCTTCTTGCCCCTACTAATACTATTACCAGTTTACCACATATCACAACACCTCTTCTTTATAGCTGAATTCAGCACGATATAAAATTCATAAAAAAAATCATACATACTAAATAACTATGAAACTCCAAGGAACATGCATAGGAAAAAAAAAGGGACTTACCTCACTTTTTGATTGCTTTGGTGGTGACAAGCTTCTTCGTGACAGCAAACTTGGGGCCTTTTTTAGCTCTACCCATATCTTTTGTTTGACAAGCACAAGGGGATTTACAAGAGAAGATTGCTTAAAACCTTGAAAACCCTTTCCTTTGTTTGAATCCTGATACGATGCCTTCTGAAACTGGTTAAGCATGTGAGCACCGTTCACCTTCTTTTGGAGCAACCGACTAGAGGGTTGAGCATTCTGTTTTTGATTCGATTTTCACCAAATTGAGTGAATTTTCAAAACCAAACGAAACCCAATCAATAGAAATTAACCAAACTGAATTTATGGAAATATTTCGTTTCAGTTTTCGGTGTAGATGAGTTTTAGAGGTGTTCATAAAGCCTAGTTACCCGCTATGCCACTAAAAAAAATACCCAGCCCACCATAAAAAAAAATGGCCTGAAAGAACTATTAGACATGTTTGGGCTGGACAAATTGTTGGGCAGGGCTGGGTATTGGGCATGGTATGCTGTCCTGCCCATTTAGCCCTACCAGCAAAAATATATATAATTTTATTTATATATTTTATTTGCCTCATATTTATTTCGGAATCAAATGCACTGTTGCATTAATATTCAATGTTTATTATACTTATTTATTTTTGAATGATTTTGAGAGTTAGAAACTAGAAAAACAATTAAGTTTAATAAAATATACATACAACATTTTTTTGTCATAATCCACTCCTCTTAGCTACTACAAAAAGTAATTTCATAATATATTAATTAGTAATAACAAAATTAAAGCCAAATTACTATTTTAATATAAAGTTATATTACATTATTGCGAGGGACATAAACAATTAGTTAATTAATATAGCATATTGACTTGCTGGGCATGAAAGCCCACCCTGCCCAACTCGCATTTGCCCAACCCGAACTTAATAGGGCTTTTTATGGATAGGGCTAGGCAACGGCCTACATTTTTCAGCCTGATCATTCTTCGGGCTGGGCATCGACAAAGGGTCATATCCTGCCTAGCCCTACCCATGTGCAGCCCTAATCAGTTTAGGTCCATTTTTTTTTCAATTAGGATTCTTAGATTCTCCACATGCAATTGCAAATAATAAATATAGGAAAACTTTTATTTAAGGACCGCAATAGCTAATTAATATTAGTCAACCCCCAAAATATTTGAAAACTTCAGTCAACCCCCTTTAACCAAAATGAAATTAAAATTTAAAGGTAAAATTATAATACTATCCCTTCTTTTTATTTTTTTTAAAAACTAAATATTAATGGTCACCGGAGCTCCAGCCGTCGGCACCAGAGGTCAGAGCTCTAGTGGTTGAAGGATTTTTTTCTTAAAAAAAATAAGGTGGTAAGGGGGTTTGAACTGATGACTCATTAGCAGGCCAAAAGTAATGTAACCACAAAGCTAACCAAACCATTTAATTATATAATGCAAAGAAATATATACAATGGCTAAAGGATTCTTTTAATAAAAAAACAAGGTGGCTAGGGAGTTTGAACTCATGACTCCTTAACACACCAAAACTAATGTAACCACCAAGCCAACCAAACCATTTAATCATATAATGCAAAGAAATATATATATATATATATATATAAAACAAATGCAAGTGTTCAAGTGTAAATGAACAAATAAAATTTGATAATTTGCAAGTAAAATTCAATAATTCATAACAAAAATTGGGTGATTTATAAGTAAACATAATGGAATTCACAACTCCAAATACAAGCGTTTATGTGTGAGTGAGCAAATGATATTAGAAGATTTACAACAAAAATTTATGGATTTATAACCCAAATTCGGCGATTCACAAGAAACATAAGAAAATTCACAACCCCAAATATAAGTGTTTGAGTGTGAATGAACAAGTGAAATTCATTAACTTATAGTAAAAGTTCAATGATTTACAACTCAAATTCAGATATTCACAGGAAACATAAATATTACAAAACTTATAAGAGAATTTCCAACTTCAAAAGTTTTGCTAAGTAAGAGAATTTCCAAACTCATAACTTCTATATATTTAACAAAATTATGTTTGGGGTTGGGAATTCTCTTATAAATTTTGTAATATTTATGTTTCCTGTGAATTTATGAATTTGAGTTATAAATCATTGAATTTTTGTTGTAAATTGCAGAATTTCACTTGTTCATTTATATTCAAACACT